TTCCTTCGAGTAAAAACCAAAAGTTACGGAATGTGGGCGACAACGAGCGAAGGTCAAAACGCTTTTGCTCCAACGCTGTGCTTTGCGCAAGTTTCAAGTGACAGATGGTCAAAACACGCGTGAGTGCATGAGCGATAGAAGGGCCAAACGTGCGTAATGGGCCGCGTAATGAGCATTCCATTCATTCTAAGTGGAAGTCCAAACGATTGCAGGCTACATACATGCGACGCATGCGTAATAACCTGTAGATTAGGATTGCTTGTCCCTCTCATCGCCCGCAATTAGCGTTAATTTCGACTCATGCCAGTGAAGCTCGACATTTAGAACGGGCCTAAGAGAAATCATCGCTTGCCCTAGTTAGACATAGGCATGGATATTTTGTCGAAGAGGTTAATAAACTAATAAAATGATGTAATGAACAAGAAAGTTAAATTCTCCCAACTATTTTTATAAGGAATTGTATAGTTCAGTATAGAGTATATATATGTGGATGTACTCGACCACTCATCTCACTCCAGTGTGGTGCGGGTTCATCTGAGGCGGACGGTCATGTTGTGTTTGTTGATGCTTCTCTCCCCCGTGGCTGATTCTTTACCGTGTTGCTTCTTCTCTCTCTTGTTTCAAGAGAACACGGTAGTTTTCCTCTCGCCTCAAAAACCAACAATTGCAAATGGCAATTCGCCAGATGTGTACAAACATACGAAACCCAGATATTTTTAAATTTACGCGTACATTGTACAAACGTTTTAGATGTAGAGGAAGTGCATCCATGTAATGGTTATTCGCCTACTAATCTTTATCGTATTAGACTGCAAAACAGTCGGTTTTTTTTCTCAAAATCGTTTTAGCGTAGCTTAAGAGTTTCACACGCGCGAAGAGCGCCAGGCTCACACGGTCTCTCCCCAGTCTTGCTCTTCGTTTTCAGCCTCGCTCCAGACCTTTTGTTTGACTGCTTGCGCCAGGGGCGGATCTAGGGGGAGGGTGCAGGGGGTGCGCACCCCCTTAGATGACCTGCGGTTTTCTAATACAACTGGTATTCTGCAAAAAAAAAACTATGTGGCTTATTGGTGTTGAAGTAGAGCAAGAGACGAGTGCACCCCCTCCTAAAAAAAATCCTGGATCCGCCCCTGTGCGCGTAGTTGGATACGCAAAAATACGGACTGTTTTGCAGTCTATGATCGTATGGAAATTTGGAAATGTTGGTTTTCGCAGAGAGGGGAGATCGGAGTACCCGGGGAAAAACCTTTTTGAACAAGGAAAGAACCAATATCAAACTCAAGCCACTTATGGTCTCGCTTCTGGGACCCAGCAACATAAGTGTAACGCGGGTGGTCTCTTTCTTGCCTTCCACTTGCAGCTAACTTGGAAAAAAAGACCCAGACTTTTGCAAGCGCTAACAAAGCAAACCTATTTGTGATAGCAAATTGTCATGAGTCAATTTGAGTTTTTGACCAGACCTACATTGTTGGTATATTGATGTTTGGTTTTTAGGTTATTGCAGGCCCACCAGCGAAGCTCAAGATTCTAAAGTTTGATCATTCTGAGGTAGGTATGAAAAACGCGTGTCTTGGACCCAGTGTTTCAGTGTTCCATCTTCAAATTTTGAACACTGAGTTCAATCTATCAATGAGCGAGTCCCAAACCCACTGAAAGAGCGTCCTATTGACGCTTGGAGCTTGGAGCCCCACGTGACATTGGATTAAGAGGCATAAGCACATTTCAACCATGACTTCTTTGACTCTTCAACAATACTTTCATGCACAACAATGTTGTGTATAAAGTCTTTTTCTCTCCTCAGTGAGTTAGGGCATCTTCCATTTGTCAGAACTGGCCGACCAGCACATTCCCGTTGTAATGATAATTTTACTTTTAATCAAAGCTATCCAGCCAGATCAGTCAAATTCTAAATAGTATGCACGAAGGAAGTCGTTTTTCCTCAAAAGCTCTTGGAAAAAGCCTATTTCATTTTCAAAATGACAGGTCCAGCCATGGTCTGGCCGGCCAGTTCTGACTTTTGGAAAGCACACGAAGTTAGAGTGCTTGTTGAGATTGCCTCGACCTCTGACTTGCGGTAGTGCGAAACAACATTGCTTGGGAAGCTTCCTATGCGTTATCAAGCCTGCTCTTGTACAAACTCGAGTTCATACTGTGATTTGTTTTACTTGTTTTACAGCCACTTTCAGTGTTTAACGATACCAAGATGCCATTTCCCCTTACTGTTCAACTGTGCGACAAGCTTGAAAACCCCTCCGATGAGCCTAATGTTAAGGTGGTCCTTAATACGGACAGAGGAATTAAGGTGGGAATCTCAGTTTTTGTTATTCAATTAAAATTTGACCAAGCCTTTAATTGTTTGGCCTCCTTTTAATAAATGCAGTTTCAGTCGAACCTCCACTAATAGGGAGCTTAAGCAACTACGACGACAACATCAAAAAACAACAAGTTTAATGATCAAAACAACAGCTCTTCACGTCCATCATGCTTTTTAGTACATTTATTTGGCGTCCACTGCACGACTACGACGTGAAACCTCCTAATTTGACGTGTATGGAGGACGTGGACATAGGACGACGAATTTTCCTTCCTCTTTTTGAACCTGAATAAGCTCCTTAAGAATTCAACTCGAGGAAAAGTCGCCTGCATTTGACATATTGAGCGGTACCAAATCGACGCGATTAAGTTTAAAAGAACGCAAATTCATTTTGTCGGTGACGTTTTCACTGCTGTTGTCGTCGTCGTTGCTCAAGGTCCCTAAGGAGCACCTCTCCACAATGGCCACTTTTTTTGTCCCAGGAGACAGTCCATAGATTGACTCTTGTCCAAACCTCTCATTAACGGCAACGGCCACTAAAGCGTGTTTCCAAGTTCCAAAATAAGGGAGTTTAAGCAACGACGACGACGACGGCAATGAGAACGGCAAAAAGGCAATAGGTTAGATTAGCAAAACAACAACTTTGCACGTGCATCACACTTTTTTGTACTTTTCTTAGCCGTCGTTGCACGACTACAACGTGAAAGTGCCTAATTTCACGTTTTGTTGAGGACGGGAACACAAGACAACAACTTTCCTTTTCTTTTCCAAAAAATATTGCCCACATTTGACGAATTAAAGTGACGTTTTCATAGCCGTCGCCGTCGTTGTTGCTTAAGCTCCCTATTAGGGACGTTACGATCCGACAACGGCGACGCCAATGAAAACGTCGCTGAGAAATAGACTTCGCGTCCTTTAAAACTTTTTCGCCCTTATACCAAGTCACTCAGTCACTTGAAAGTAGGGAAGTTAAGTTAGAACTGAAGAGAGGGGACCACGTCCGAATTCAGAGAGAGAAAGCAAAATTTATCGCCTTGCCGTTCCCGTTCTCAAGTCAACTCAAAATTTGGTCATTTCACGTCGTAGTTGGGCAGGGACGGCAAAGAAATATACAAAAAGCGTGGTGCACGTGCACAGTTGTTGTTTTGCTCATAAAAACTATTCTTTTTTAGACGTTCCCGTTGCCGTCACCGTTGTAGTTTCGTAAGGTCTCTATTTCCTCTCGACAACGGCCAGTTTTTTTCAGCAACCGATGAAAGAGTCAAGAATGGTGATAAAGTTTGATCCGTATGGCGCGTTGGTGATTAATCGTGGCAATCGTATTTTGATTGTGATCCACTTATACTGCTGCAGTAAGCAAAAATTGTCTACGATACTTGTAGCGAATGTTGCGAGCCTTGCTTGTTTTGGGACGTTAACATTTTAATTCAAAGCAATATTGAAGTTTTTTGTGTATTTTAACTCTATGTATTATATATGATTGGATTACCTTTATGGAATACAATAAAATAAGAATGAACTTAGTAGCGCAATAAACATGTTGTACTCCCTATCTCCTAATAACGGCCACCTCTCCAGAACGGCCACTTTCTTCTGTCCCTAAGGTGGCCGCTGTCGAGAGGTTCGACTGTATTATGTAATCTGCGACCTTTTCTTGTACTTCAAAAGATCTGGTCGATGTTGCGACTGAACCGTTTTTACTGCCTTATTTTTTGAGCTTTCTATCGATAGTGTGTCGAGCACCTGATTATGCAAATTTATATAAATCTATGCAAACTGATGCTTCTAATTGTGGTATTTTTTATTATTATTATTTTTTTTCAGTTGACTCCAGCACCCGCTCAGCAGAAGACGGACAGCAAGGGTCAAGCAACGTTTGGTCAACCTACTGTGAGCGCAACCAAGTAGGTGGAATATGAACATAAGTCTTCTTGTGCCCGTGTTCCTGCCTCTTACTTGATAGCTCTTACCTCAGCCCTTAATGAACGTTAGAGTCAAAGAGAAGCTCTCTTTACTTTGTACACCATTTCTTAGTTCTGCTACTCGGCAGTTTTAATTCCTTCCTAACGGCGCCTCTATTAGTGGGACCCCTAGAGTTGGTCCCTGCCTTTCCTTAGTCATTTTATTTGACTTCCTATAAGATAGAGAACTTCCTAAAACAGACACCTAGAGTTGGTCCCTGCCATTCTTTATTCATTTTTTTTTTACCCTCTTTAAAACGCACACCTCCCTAAAACGAACAACAAGCGTCGGTTTCTGCCATTCTTTAGTCGTTTTCTTTGACTCTCTATAAGATGGACACCTCCCTAAAATTCTTAAAGTTTGTCCCCGTCGTTCTTCATTCATTTTCTTTGATTCGGTAGAAGACGGACACCTCCCTAAAACGGACACCTAGAGTTGGTCCCTGCAATTCTTTAGTCGTTTTCTTTGAATCTGTTTAAGACGGACACGTCCTTAAAATGGACACCTAGGGTCGGTTGCTACCATTCTTCGTTCATTTCCTTTGACTCTATAAGACGAACACCTCCCTAAAAAGGACACTAAATGCCGGCATACACTTTGTGCCGATCAAAAAGATATCCATCGACTTTAAGAGCCCCAACTTTGGCATTTCTTAGGAAAAAACCTCTTCCTCGGTCATAATTTAAGTCTGTAAAATATCTCGCGGAAACGTGTGTTTGAAAATCAGGGGAATGTATGGAATAAGAATCAAAGCCCTGCTTGGAAGAACTGCATTGGATGCGCCTACGATAAGCGTGAGGTGAGTTCTGTGAAGCAGGTTAACACACATTTCACAATCACGCACGGATTTGGTCGAGAGCTCTGATTTGTGAGAGTTTAGACCTCCGAAATGGCGTCAAAATGTTTAAAACTTTAGTGGAACTGCGAGTTGCACTCCAGTTGTTTCATTGCAGCGTATCAAAGATGTTCACGTTATCTCTGTGGTCTGTAAGAGTAAAGTCAATGGAAAATTGTTGTTTATTCGCCAAAATATTCAATATTTTGTATCAATAGAGATGTTGAACGTGGCATTTAAAGCAAAAGGAAACGGTAGAGATCAAATCGGCTATTGAATTCGCTTTTGCCATTTTCGGTGAATATGTTGCATACGTTAGCGCTAGCGTTGGAAGAAGTCGGACGCGTCAAAGCTACTTGCGATCGCTTTTCTCAAGTTGGTGCTTTTGATACTGTAATTTCCTGTGGTACCTACCCGCTTTGACTAGCTGTAGCTATTTGCGGGTAGTTACATCTGCACTGTCATATTCTAATGATAAAGTTGTTGTTGTTGTTATATGTTTTGCATTTCAGAGTGGAGCCTGACCCATCAAAGGCTGTAAATCTTAACGTCACGTTTGATTCTAATGCGCCGTGTGTCGTTGGAGAGTTGTTACCAAGTAAGTCAGACCATTAGATTGACAGTAGTCTGGTAGGACTATTGCGCAGGCAAGTGTATCCCAAGCAAGCAAACGGGTTTCCAGTTTTGCTGTCAAAACTTGCGCTTTCCATGGGCTGGATTTCCGCCGCTATCTCGGGTCCGGTCGAGGTCGCAAGCTCATTACGGATCGAAGCTTAAGCAACGACGACGGCGACGTCGACGAGAACGGCATAAAACAATAACGTTTAGATTGGTAAAACAACAACCTTGCCCGTGCGTCAGTCCTTTAGAATTCAACTCCTGAAAAATTAGCCATCATTTGACAAATTAAAAGAGTTGGGTTAAGAGCAATGAAGTTTGAAACAGCGCGAATTCACTTTTTGGGTGACGTTTTCTCCAACGTTGCCGTCGTCGTTGCTTAAGCTCCCTAGTTACCGAACAGCGACTGATCATCGAGTCTAGACTACGAGTAGTCCCCATTTTTCCTCAGGGATAGTAGAGAGAGCGAAACGCGAGCGCGCGTGAAAATCACCCCACGCGAGAGAGGCGAGACGGGGCTATTGACGGGTTAAGACTGCATTGTAGGTCAAATACTTTGTCTAGTGACTCTGCATTTTAACCATTTAATCCCCAGTAGTGACCAAGATCCATTTTGTCCTAACAATATCAACACATAATCAAGAGAAACGGTTATGAGAATTTATATAATGATGAACTAAGGGAAAATGCTTTGATTTTTTCTCCACTTTCAGCAGCATCTGACTGATGTTAGCTATAGGGAATTCTCATCCAAAACGGAAAGTGATTTGCAAGGACTTGTTCGATTAGCACCCTCTGGGATTTCAGACCTACAGGGTGGCAATTCTCCCAACTAAGTCTTAAGGGAAATGTATGGAGATCAGTCTGGAGAATTTGTGGGTGGATATCGAGGTTTAATACAATTGGCTATGTCTTTCTAAGCATTGCGCTCAGCATTGTGACCAAATTCCAGGTGTTTGGAGATCTATAGGATTTTACTTTAACCTGAATCTGAGTTCTACCATACAAATTCAACTTTAAAGCAGTTTGGCCACGTAAGGACATTGATATATTGAACACTTTTACCTGAAAATTTGATTGACTCATTCCTTGGGTGGGTGTTAGCATAACAGGTTCAGGTTGGGGGATGTTTTGTCCCCCAAACAAACCTACTGTCCTGCGTTTCAGCTGTTTCAGCCCATGTCGTCGGAGAGGACGAGGCTGTAATGAAAGCAGCAAGTGCTAAGGACATAGTGTTGAAGATATGGCACTCTAAGGATGGCCCAGTATCAGACAAGCCGCCAGCCAGGGTATGTTATACTAGCCTGTTTTCTTTCACATCACATAGTAACTGGGTTTCACAATACATACACTGTAAGTGTCAATATTCTTAGGCACTAACTAGCCGAGAGCTATTTTCCAGGGCTGCCTCCAAGATTTCAAGTTGACGTTATTTATATGCAATCAGTAGGCGGGAAATTGAACTTCAAGGAAATCATTATGTCCTAGTTTCATTTTGTTTCCTATGAAAGAAGCCGGGCAGTGCCGGATCCAGACCTTGAGATGAGGGGGGGGGGGGCGGTCATCCAGACCCTTAGATAAAGGGGGGGTGGTCTCCCTGTTTTTTTTTTCGGCCCTTCTGGCCTCAGTTTGGTCCAAAAAATAATGGAGGGGGGGTCGGGCTCCCGGGTCCCTCCCCTGAATCCACCACTGCCGGGGTTAATGTTCATAGTATCCGGAGGAAATCCCCTGTCCTTTCTTCTTAGTGACAGCATATTCACAGCAGAAGGGCTTGGTTACTATTCAGAAGTGGTAAAATGACTGGCCTATTGCTTATAACTTAAACTGTTATCGTACTGAGGTCACAACGGTGTAGCACAATGCCGGTGTTAATTGAAACCACCAAGGCTTAACATTTTACTTATATTGTAATTTTGTTAAGGCCACAACGTTGTACCCATCAAAGCGGAAGTTAACGGATAAAGATGGAGAATTCTACTTCAGGTAATAATAATAAGAAGAATACGAATAAATATGATAATATAATATGTATATTGCGCATATACAATGGAATGCGCATTACAAACGGTGAAATAAAAATAAGTCGATTAAAAGCTATCTTAAAAAAGTACGTTTTGAGTGCTGTCTTAAAAGATGTAAGGCTCTGAATGTTTTTTATCTACTCCGGAAGACTGTTTCACAGTTTGGGAGCTGCCGACTGAAAGGCTCGGTCGCCAAGTCAGTTGGTAGACACAGTGCGTTGGCCGGTACCAACAAAGTCGCATTCTTGGACCTAAGGGTGCTTTCCATTTGTCAGAACTGACCGGCCAGACCATTCCCGTCGTAATGACAATTTCACTTTTAATCAAAAATATCCAGCTAGATATAGTTTGCACGAAGGAGATGGTTTTTCAGCAAAAACTCTTGGAAAAAGCTTGTTGCTTTGTCAAAATGACTGGTCCGGCCATGGTCCAGCCGGTCGGTTCTGACTTTTGGAATGCGCCCTAAGATTATTTATATCTTGACTGGGCAGCGACCGCAATAATATCAACTGAAGTATGGTTGATTAAGTAGTTTTCAAAGGAAGCAATGCAATTTTTTTTCGTGAATTCTCTTATAACCATATATTGTAAACTGCACTCACTAGGGACCTCAAAGTACCAGATATGTCAGGTGGCTATTGTATGGTAGTGCAGTTTGGATCTGCAGGAGCAGCCACACTCTCTAGTAAACCGGTGAGAGCATTGTTTGTTTTACGTGGAGTCTTCATTACTAGTTACTTCTTGCACAAACCCTTATTCTATTAGTAATAACATTACTTTGAAGAGAACTTGAATTTTTATTTGTAAATTACTATTTGTTGTCTGCAACGTTAGGAAGAGCTACCTTCAGCGAAACACACCGAATACCACCTTGTGGTCTTTTTTTTGTCTGCAACGTAAGGAAGAGCTAACTTGAGCACAACACACCAAATACCAATCTGGCATCAGCTTACGACAGTCGTTTCCGATTAGTACAGTAGCTCTTCCAGACCTCTATTTTGATTGGCCCTAATAATCAGTAGCTTCTTTTGTTTTAGAGCTAGGGGTATTGTTTGTGTTGAATCATCTGTTGTTTCGTTCTGCAATCACAGACCATGTCTGAAAAGATACTGACCTTCTTCCCTTCCGTTGCACCTTAAACCTGTTCACTTACGAAGAAGCACTTTCGTTTAGCGGCATATTTTACAGAAGATTCATTTCATTTTTGTACAAGTTAATCAGTTTTATTACCTGTAAAAGAATATGTGGAGGAGAGTTGTGTTTAGAAATGCATACTACCCAGCGTTCGAAGAGTTCGTTGACCTCGTCAGCTAAATACCTTCCCAATTCTTAATGATGGTGAGAGCCAACTATGTTCGTTAACATAGAGTTTCACTTACTTCCTCTTGCAGATCACATTCACAGCAAAGGCTGGTCTCCCTGTGAAGCTAGAACCGGAGACGATGCCTGCGACTCCTACTGTTTCCAACACTCAAAGGACCAACAGCCGAACCCTGGTGAAGACACTCAAGTTACAACTTAAGGTACTAATATTTACTGTTTTTGGTTGTGTTCTCTCCTCATTGTAATGCAAAAATAGTCCCACATCTTCTGTTACCAGTTACCAGTTCTTTGCGACGTCGTGCGTATAATTGTAGGCCAGCGTTGGTGAGCATTAACTCTGTAGAGAAACTGGTTTGTGTAAACTTTGGGAAAAGAGTTGCAGAGTTGGTTGCCTGCAAAGATTTCGTCCGTAGTTTACTAGTCATGATTTCAGCAGCACTGTTACTTTGAAGATGAGTAGCAAATCGCTGAAAATGAGCAAAAGAAAAGAAAAAAATGAACAACAAAAAGATGAGTCCATTGACGGCGTCAGTGAAGCGTATCACGAAGGCGATGACGATTATGTCACCAAGAAGGACGTTTACAAAGTGATGAAAGTGCAAGAGTCGATGTCTCGTAATTTGTTTGAATCCATGTTGACCAGTGTTAACAATAGAAGTGATGGTGTGATCAAAGACCTGACAGAATTGAAATCAAGTATTCGTATCACCACAATCTTCTGTCTAGTAGCTTTCGCAACCTCTTTTTAAGTAATAGTCAGGTTCACCATTGTGAAACTCAACTAGCCTTTCAGCATAGACCTCATTTCTGTAGAACTAATATCAAGCAGTTCAGTATCCTTTATCGAGGACCAACAATCTGGAATTCGTTGCCAATTTCACTAACCAGCTCACCTTCCATTTTTCCATATAAGTTTTTTGTTGGTTTGTTTATGTTTTGGATTTAACATAACGAACGTAGGGCATTTTTCTCTTTTCTGATCTGAAACCAACTAATGTTGCAGCTCTCGTTAGTTGCTGATCTCTAAACAACGTTAAAAAACCCTCAGCATGCATAATTAAAGGTCCATTTCAATATTCAAGATTGCTTGATACACATTTGTTGAAGAACAGCTCAAACGTTTGTTGATCAGCAAAGTGGCCTTAGGCAGCCTTGAGACAAGATTGCTCACTCTGCTGTTTGTTTTAGGACAAATTTGATAACCTGACTGGTGAGAATCTGAAAGGAAAGGTGGTTGTCAAGGTAACAACACCATCAGAAGGCATTGACGAGATCCCTGCTCTGACTGGAAATGTGTACTCCTTGGAGGTACCCCTGGTCAAGGGCGTGGCCACTGTACAGAACCTCCTTATTCAAGAGAACACTGCAGGCAAAGACGGACAGGAATACCTGCTGAACTTTCACACTCAGATTCCTCCTAATTCTTCGCCTCATCCTATTCCCGTGTTTACATTGGCATTCTTGTTTTACAATGGCAAGTACCCTTCGGTTTCATGTAGTGCTGACTTTCTTCTTCATGATTAAGGGCCTGTTTACATTGAAGCGGGGGACCCCAGGTAGGTGAGGTAACCTGCTTAGGTGGGGTAACCCGCCTGTCCATATAATCTCTCATTTTAATTTGATCACGTTTACATGATAAGTGGGGTGACCCGCCGCATGTTACCTCACCTATCTGGGATCTCCCACCTCCATGTAAACAGGCCTTAACTTAAAGGATATCCGATAATGTGCTTGTTCGTTGTGTGACTTTTTTTTTGTTTTAAAATAGCAAATACACTGCGGTTTTCTGTGGTGCTAATTTTCCCATCCCTTATAAATATTAACATAAAATAACAAGTGCCCGTTCTTTCTGCGCAGGCTTGTCACTAAGATTTCAAGTTACCGGGTAAATACAACAAGTAGGCGGGAAATCAAACAGCTAGGGATTTCGTTTGGTTCTATTTTTCTTCTCTTTTCCAATGAAAGTAGCTGGGGCCACATTCATAGCAGCTGGGGAAATCCCCGGCCCCTGGTTTCTTAGTGGCAGCCCAGCTGCGACCTGGTTTTGTTTACAGTGGCAGGTACACTTCGGTTTCCTGTAAAAAAAAACTATTAAATTCCTATTTCCCTCTTCTTGATTAACTTTAAAAAAACTTCTTTTTGTTTGTTCAACCTTTTGTTTTAGAATGGCAAGTACACTTCGGTTCTTATAAAGAAGTGTCTAATTTCCACTCATTGATTAACGTATCTGCTTATTCGTCGTTTGACCTCTCTAAATCACTTCCTTTTACTTGCTCTCCACCTTGTTAGGTATTTTGTTAACTAACACAACATATTTCATAAACAGTACTATACTTTTTGCTTTTAGATGTGAGGAAACAGCAACAGATGGCTCAGCTGACAAAAGAAAGAGATCACTTATTTGAGACGATACGCACCTACCGGCTTCTTTTTGAAACTACGCGACAACTCATTAACGAGATGCAAGGTTGGTGGCTTATTTTTGGTTCTTTGCAGTCGACCACATTAACATTCGCCCACACAGAGGAGTGAGACGCAATAATTTTGTCTTATCCTTAAAGTCTCGAGAGTAACTAACATCAATTTTCTCCTAACAATATCCATGCACAATCAAAAGAAAAGGTTATGAGAAATAATAAAATGATCATCAAAATGAAAATGCTTTGATTTTTATCAAATTCTCTCAACTAATTCTGTAAGGAAATATATGGAGATCTGTAGAGAGAATTCTTATGTGGATATTGGGACTTAAAAGATTACTCATTAAGTCAATGTTCCTCCATAAAAGATTCAAAAGCTGACGCATTAAGTGCTAGCCCGTCATCAGAGCGAATTGAAACTTGATAACACCAGCTTTTTTTTAAAGATTTGAACAACCAATTTTATAATTGAACCATAACCTTTATTTTTGTACTTTAAAGTGTCAGTGCATGAAGCTTCTTTACAAGAACAGAAGCTGAGAGGAGAACTCAGAAAACAAAACATCCCTGCAAGCAGCTTAGCATCGGTAAGGAGTAATCCTGGTACAGGATCGAGCCACCCTAAGGGAGTAGTTAGAGTACCAAGCTCAAGTCCAGAGGTCGCTGTTTTCGGTTTAACCAGAGGTCCCTCTTTTCCACAGAGGCCTAGCGGAGAGTAGAACACAGGGGAAAACGTACGTGGTGTATGCTGGGAAGGGGAAGAGAGGAAGCGAGGTTTCCGCCATTTTTCTTTCCTTCGTTCACACGACAGCACTTTCGAGTTATAAAAGAAGTTATGTTCTTGTCGTCGGAGCTTCTGTTAGGGAAATATGAGGTGCATATGTAGCCACACGGCACTGGCTGGTTTTGATTAAAGTTGGATCTGAGTTCAACTCCTTGGCCATGCCTGTTGGTGCCTCTGAAGCTTTTACGTTTACTTTCGTTTTCTTATTTAGACGAAGTGCTAGAAAGTTGTGGATGATGCCTCATTTTGTTACCGTGCATACGTCACACGTTTTGCATATTACCGGAAGGTCTCATTTTGTAAAAATCAATTCGCACCATAGATTAGTATTGTTAAATATCCGTTTCATTTGAATGGTCACATCATAGCTCTGGGAGTGAAAGAGTTAATCTACTAGAGAGCTTTAGATTTGAGGAGGAGAACGAGTATGAGTATGAGATTTAACATAAAGTTTCAAAATCTAAGCCCTCTACTGCTTGTTTGTTCTTAGCCATCAGCTGTGACTACATTGATAGATGAAATGTCAAAGAAGAGAGATCAGATCGCTATTACTCCTCGCCGACAGTGTCTACTTCACCCTGGACCCCGTGGAGACTCTGGTATTCTGGGAAAGGTTTGTTCAGTTTACTTTTCGATGAGTTCACACTATGCTTTAGTCTGACAATTTTTTTCCCTTTTTCTAAAGCCATAGCAAAGAGTGATTTATAATAACCGTTATGCATGTTTACGTCAGACGAGTATATTTCACCACCCAGCCTCGTTTTGAAGTTGAAAAGTTGCCAAGTTGTGCATAAATGAATTCCCAGGGCAGAAAAGTTGAAAAGAATATTCACGCCCAAAGGGTGCAAATGCAAACAGTTTTGTTTACAAACGAGGTTTGGTGAAATTTGCTCGACTGACGTAATTATGCAACTTCAAATCTTAGTGACAGCCCTGACCTCGGTAATGAAGACACTTGGCTCTACCTCGTCGGTATACTTTTGTTGCGTGTTAGCGCTAACGCTGTTCTCTGTTCCCCCTGCAGGTAGCTCATTTAGCTCAAGTGGTAGATGACGACGTTGCGCGAGTACTGTCGTGGCACATGGCATCCGATATGGACTGTGTCGTTACTCTCACGACAGAAAAGGTTCGTCCTTAGACTTTCAAAAAAGTCCTTTTTCCGATTTAATATGGCGCGGGACGAAGGTCGACCTTTCGCGACTTCGTCGTACGCTTGGTCGCTTGCTAAGACACTCGTGCTGTCGACTTCTAGCAAGTCTAGTTCGTTCCCTAAACCTCGTGTTTTGCCTGCTGTGCTTTTCGCTCATCATAAATTCTCTCCCCTTTTGGGTAGCTAGTATGTACGTAAGTTATGCTGTTCCGCTCTATCCTATTCTACTGGACCTGTCGTTTTGTGCTCTGTAGGGTGTATTTTTTTTATTGCTGACAAGCGTTTGCGAGGTAGCAATACTATTGTTTGTGTAGCGAAAAAATTCAATTTTGTAGTGTTCTTTGTGTAGCGGCAAATTCAATTTGTGTCGAATGTAAGATCACCCGCAAACACACTTGGTTATGACTATCTTAGAGGTCTTCTTATATGACGTAGTATATCCGCACAGCGCTCGATTGAATGTTCAAGTTCCTGACAAACGGACAATCTTGCCTGTTTAAACTGTCGAATTCTTTTTCTTTTCCTCCGGTGTCAATAAAATCAATTGAGTTAAAGGCTTCCGTGTTACCTCAGGAATGAACCGTAACTTAAGTATTTGCCTTACTGGTCGAAAGCACACTGATTTCATGAGCGAATGTTTTACATCAACGGGCAAAGTCAACGACTAATATTTTGGCACAAAACTGTAAATTCCTCTGCTGCTTATTTCCTGGTAATAATTATTACTGTCTCACTTCCATGACCTCCACACAAGTCCTTTTGTAGCTCTCTAAAATAACCAGTAACATTTATGTAGTTTTTTGTCACTTTTTGAATAACACGGGTGACTGTTTATTTTCAGGCAAAACAAGTGTATCGCGACTCTAATGGCCAGCAACAAGTGCTACCCTTGGATTCTATCTTCAGACGTAGTTTACCAGAATGGAATAGGTACAGACCAAATTAAACCCAGTTATCATAGACGCTGTGTCTCTCAGGAGTTTTCAAACCCAAACCTGCTTAACAATTTTACACCATAAATCCTCTATTAAGAACCCCCCTCCCCCTCTCAAATAAGCCCCCTCTCACTAATAGGCCTCTCCTTTTCAGAGAAAGAAAGTTAATAAGCCCCCTTCTCTTTAAGCCTCCATCCCCTCCCCTCCGCTTATTATTCTTCATTATTTTAATGATAGACTGTATTAATCAGTCACGACAGTAAAACATGGTGTGGACTGATCCAGGACGGTTTATTTACCAACTAGAAGTTCGGAATTGTTATTGATTTTCGGCTGCATGACTCCAACGTCTTGTACTGGAACTTTTCCTCTTTGTATTCTAGTTCTTTATGGTGAACTGATACCATCGTTTCTTCTTAATTAGATAACCCCCCCCTCTCTACCCCTCCCCCACCTCAAATGGGCTTGAATAAATAAGCCGCCCAAGGGGCTTTAATTGAGGATTTACGGTAAGTTGGTTTTTTTTTAACCCAAAGAAAATTCAGGGAGTGCTCAAGTAGTGCCGATCAAGTTTATAAAATTTCCTGCCCGGTTTTATGAGAGTTCTACTACATTAAAATGTAATATACTGTTATCTGCAGGTTTAACCTGGCTTACACTCTCATTCTTTCGCGTAGTCAGTTTTGACGTCATATAATGAAGATCTATCTTTTGAATCTGTAGGCGAATTCATATAGAACTCTCTATTTCGGTAGGATCCTATGCGTGATTTTTCTTTTTTGAATTTGTGAAAATTGGTCTATTAACCGCCAGTGCATTAGAAAAAGTTAGCAATGCTCGCAGACATGTCAGCAAGGGCCTGTGAATATGCTAGTGAGCACGCCTAAGAATTTTCCAGTGGCCTCAGAGTTTTAAGCCTTTAGCGTAGCTTAGCAATGAGTAGCCATTAATACTGACTGTTAATTTTAGAGCTCTTCCACATATACGAGGTCAGGGCAGTTACAATCCGTCTGGTAACCCTGTGTACGCAAGAGATATGTTGATGTTTCCAACAGAGGCGGAAAATTGCAAGCTAGGTAATACGAATGTGTATGCAAGAGTACTTATTGTAGGGCCTGTGCGACAATAGACCATTAGATAATCATTAGCCTGCTCTATGTTCTCTAGTTTAAAAACAACTGTTGGGCCAACGCTCGAGAGGCGCCGGCGGAATCTCATGCGCGAGTGGCAAGCAGATTGCCTCATTCGATAAGTTCTTGAATGGAGAACTTCTCTAAGGCCAAGGTAATTTGCTTGAAAGAAGGCAGTGCTGAGGGACGTTGAATAGAAATGAATTTTCTGTTTAGGAAGGAGAACGTTTCGCTTACCCGTTGTCAAAGAGATACCCATTGGTGGAGCTCCGTGATTAGTTGCAACAAGCTAGCGTAAGCGGCAAGAATCAGTTACATGCTTCCCCCTCCCCCAAATTAGCCGGACGACAGTTTCTCCAAACAGGCAGCTAAACATTGGCTATTATAGGCTACAAATGCGTTAAACCCAGGAAACAGTCCCCCTTACTGCACAACATCCACTTCCCGTTTGTTGACATTTCCAGTGATTCCACGCTCAGAGGTAGAAATAACTTTGTCAAGATACATTGTTATGGGTTTAGGAACTACCACTCTTATGCTCCGTGAACATCTACCAATGCTTGTTGGGTATCAGAGGTCTTTTTGTTTTCCTCGCGTGCGGCGGGGTGCTTCGATGTCGGTAACAGACCGAAGCCGCGAGTCACTTTCACCAGAAATTACACTAGAAACGTCTTTGCTGTCCGGGGTATACAAAGTTCTTCGTGACTGTCAAAAATTTTCCTCAAACTCAATAACAAATAAATGTATCGAGAAAACAGGCAAATTCTATACCATGAATTGCGACACCTAAATCAAACACTCGAAAGAGTTTTTCATTTGGGATCCAAATAACCTTGACGTCACTATGCCCCATTTTTCAACTCACTTCTCGTTTTCTGCCCTAGGGGGTACTCCCTATAATGGCCTATACGGAGAGACTCCGCCCGAAAGGGGTACCTTTTTCAGACTTCAGGTATATGGAAGGGTTGGGATTTTACCAGTTGAATTATATGAAAGTGGTGGGAAATCTGTCATTTGGGCCTGTGAATGGGCTCAAAGGGCTGAGCAGATGAATTTCAGTGTTATGGCTTTATAAAGTCGGGAAAACGTTCTATTTTTGTGATTGATTCCTACTTAAAGGACAATGCATTTGCAGCAGTCAAAAAGGGGTACCTTTTTCGTGAAAAATGGTATATAAAAGGGTAAGGGGTTGGACCTCGGGGCGTAGCCTCCCCGTGTAAAAATTTGTTGAGTACGCCCCCGGGATTTTCTGCATGTTTTTTGAAACTTTCCTCGGGTTTGATTCATTGCTTGTCTCATTGCAGTGTTCGGTATGTTACTGGGTGATACACTGATCCTAGATGACCTGGACTGTGCAAATAAATACAGACAACAGGTGAGTACACTTGTTGATGATGCATTTCAAGGTGATGTTACATCGGACGATTCGCAGCAACGATTTTTAGCGCTAGACAGCGTTGCAACATTGTTGTGACATTGATTCAAATGGTTGCAACGTTGTTCCAACATTGCCGGCAATGCTGTGCCACGGCTGGCTATTTCATGTTGTTAATATTGCCAATTAAGCTTCCTTGTGCGCAATGAAACTAAACGTAAGGGGAAAAATTTTCTTGTAAACGACAAAATCACAGCTTCTCGTCAAATAAATGTCTCTCAAGCATTATATGAAACTTTAAATACGAGCAAAATGAACTTTGGAAACTGTTAGGCTAACAAGTTTTCAAAAATCGGCAATTGCAATCCGTTTTAGTCTTCCTCAGCTGAGTTTGTCCGCCCCTGCCTCTTTTTGTATTTGCTGTGCTATTAATGCTTTGTTTAAATGTTTTGAGCGGTTACGGTATTTTTATGTTTCACTCAATTTGGTGGCGGTTTCTACTGTTAGAATTTTGTTACGTAATTTTTGACTACTCCTTTAACATGAATGTACTAGTGAAGACATGACATTTTTAAATTTCGGGATTGTTATGCCCTATTGAAAACGGGACATTTTTACATTTAGCCACAGGGCGTATGGCTGGCGGGATTGACAATGGCTCGGTCATTTAAGGCCCCGAGAAGAGGCTTGGAGAGAATTGAATCCACACCAGGCTCCAGTTTTTCAAAATGGCTACCGTCCAGTGGATAACTCGATTGGTTTCCTTATACCTATTCGCTAGACAGAGATTTATTTATCCAGTAGATAGCGCTGTCCAACGTTTGAACGACGATGGGGCGGGTTTTTCGAGCCTTTAAGCTAATTGCAAAATTACAGACATAGCTGTGGCTTTGAGATAAAGCCACTAACAGACGACTGCAATGCAATAAAGAAAACTATTGATTTACGCCTGACTATAGTGAACTTAACCAAGGACGTTTTAGAGCGACACGCACCAACCAGAAGTGGCTGTTTTGCATCATTGGTCAGCAGTTTTTTCCCAAATTAAATTTCTGGCAATTCGTCTCAGTAAGAGTAAAGATACCGTATTTATTCGATTAACCTGCCCTGGGCGCTTATTAAATTTTCACCATTTTCAGCAAGTCAAGTATGTTTATTTTGCAACAAACAATAAATGGTAATAACAAAACGCGAAGATGTAACAAAGTAAGGTCTCTGTAAAATGCTCTGAAGAAAACTTCGTCTTCGGGGAAGTCTCTTATTAGTACTTATTCAATTTCAATTTCAATCTCATTGTCACTCAAGTCAATAAGTGAATTCTCTGGTGCTGCCTCCTCGATGTCCGACATCGGGGAGTGGAGTGGGGGTGGGCGCTTATTCGAGGTGGGCGCTAATTTGAGGTTGGGCGTTTATTCGAATAAATACGGACTTAACAAGGCACATTTGTTAGCGTCAAGGTAATGAGAAAAGGCTTCACTTCCGGTTGACGTGTTACGTCCAGAAATGTCTTTGCTTAAGCTCCCTTGTGTATTGTTATGATGTAGGTTGTAAAGCACACTCATTGTCCTACGATTCTTACAAGAGGAGGAGATCGCATCAGAAGTAACGGTAAGTTATTTAGCCCATTAACCTTTAAGTGACTAGTGTTTAAGATTTCTCCTTATTCTTACACTGTTCAGTCAAACATAAATATCGATAACATGCTGAGCTGGCAGGTCGCGCAATATCACGTGATCATGGAATGACGCAATAGTGAGGTAGAATTTCTCCTTATTCTTACACTGTTCAGTCAAACATAAATACCGTGAGAAAAAGCACATGATCAGCAAGTGAAAAAGGTCTTGATTACGCAGGATATGCGTGGAGAACGTTGTGGAGAATGTTTGTATTAATTTTAGGGTTTAAAGGGTCGCACCAATCCCCGTGATACTGTTTCTTCTAGTGAGAATTTTAATCTCGATTGCTTTGCTCTCTTGCAAAGGTAAATTCGGCGGACTGCAGAACAAAGCTCCTCCTCTTGAGAGAATGCGCGGCGCAGTGTTCGCTGCGCCTCTTCCGCTGACATTCCATTCACTGACAACGCAGATTGGTGAGTGACAACTAAAGCTCTTCTCATTTTTCACCGCCAATGTATAACTCCAACATTGCTGCTAATGTTTTTCTTTATTCGTTATGTTGTCAGAACAACTACAAGCTTTTAAACAAGCCGTTATCAAACACACACAAGCCAAGGAAGAACTTTCGGTAAGCTTAAAGAAGCGCATCGCATTGGTTTTTTTTTTTCCTTTCGTACACAAATCCACCCTGCTGTCAGTCTTCTTTTCTTGAGAGCGGATGAGAAGGGAAAGTTCTGCCTGAATCGCGTCGAGTCTTGTTTTAACCCTTTAAGTCCCAAAAGTGACCAACGTCATTTTTCTCCTAACAATATCCGTATATTGTCATAAGATGAGGTTATGAGAATTAATAAAATGATCGCCAAAGAAAAATGCCATGATCATTTATTGAATTCTCTCAACTTATTCTTAAAGGAAATGTATGGAGATCACTTTGGAGAATTTGTATGTGTATATTAATTGGGGCTTAGAGGGTTAAGGCCGCTTTCCTTCTTATCGTATAGGTGAGCGCGACCCCATAACGATTTGAATCCGCTTTCACTACTTTTCTGTTCAGCTCGCCAGTTTATTTTCAAAACAAATCGTTGGTAACGGTTTTTGATTTACGAATTTGATCTTGGAGCATTTGAAGGAACACTTTCTCTATCTCCTTTCTCTAACAGCTGCAGCTACAGCACGGACAAACGGAGGAGATGAAAATTAAACACCGAGAATGCAGAGAGGCTGAAACCCAGTTACGCATGATTGAGGAGCGTTTGGGCATGACTCCGACCCAGTACAATATGCCTCCCAGTCCGGCCACTATGCTGCTGACAGAAATCAACACTCCACCTACAAGAACAGCTACCTCGCGTCGCTCCAGCGCACGAGCTGCGGCTGCGGCTACCGCTTCTCCGACCTTATCGACTCCGGTCGTAAATGGTTCGAGCAACGCATCGGGAAACACAACTTCTCCGCGAACGAGGCGAGGTGCTGCGATCTCCCCTGAAGATGTAAGAACCAGTAAACGAACGCGCCGATGAACAGAATGCAACTTAAAATAGTTATGCTGGAGCTTGACACTACTTTAAACATGCCGCAGTGGATTTACAGTCAAAACCTTAAAGAACTTGTAAATATGATTTTGTGGTACCGATTATTTCTTAAACGAGGAAAGCCCGCCATGGAAGATGCTTCGCTATATTGTGCCATGCTTTAAAACTTGGTCTTCGTGGTCATTTAATTTTACGGCTTTCCTTGTAAACGATCTACTGACTGAAAAACTGTACCTCTGAAGACTACGAGGAGATTCTATTTCTTTACAGATTGTAACAATCTTTCACTTTGCTACTGTATCTATTTTTCACACCCTCCTTCTAGAAGTTTATCATTATACGTGCTTTTGAAATTTACTTTGAGAACTTAGCGTAAAATTGATATTGTGCTCTGATTCTCTTTCATGCCGGATTATCTCCCGAAAGTAAACCAAAAGTGGAGCCGACGTTTTCCAAGTTTACTCCATCTTCTTTAGTCTTGACTATACACGTCCTATCTGAGGTTGAAGAGGATACGTGATGTTTTTTTTTTATCTCTTGGTTTTAGCTAAAAATTGCCTAAAATTGCATGACATTGCGCTTTTATATTAGAGACCTTAAGATCGGAGTGTTTTGGCATTTCCGGCTAACCGCGAACGTCAAGAAGTCACTTGACCAGTGCCCTGCCATCAGAATTTGGGGTTTGAGCTTCTCATTTGTACAGCATGAGCACGCTCTAGGGTTAAGTGATTTACTGCAAGGATTTTTGCACCCCAAAACATTCCAATCCCGCGTTTGAGAGGAAATACTACTTTCTGGAACTCTTTCGCTTATTAATCATCCAATTCGTTTTCATAGGAACGTATTTTTGAAGACAATTTCTGAGCTAAAATAGTTTGCCGTTTGCAGTAAGATGACCAAACCTCGATCTTAAGGTCTCTATTCTTAATTTCAATTTGTCTGAAATTCAGTTCAATAGTCTTACTTAACCTTACTACATCTTACACGCCACTAATTTATCTTCGTGTTAAAAGGAATTACGCTATTAAAAGGTACTTTTTACCTCAAAGTACAGTATGAGATTAGTGGCAAATGAATGTTGAGAAATTGTCCGTTTACTAGTTCGGTGTTACGTTGAATGACAATTGCCGTTTTCATACTGGAGACGGATTATCCGTCTAGATGTGAAAACGAGACGATAAACGTATTCACACTAGAGACGGATTATCCGTCTGAGACGAATAATCCGTTGGATAATTCGCGTCAGACAGATAATACGTCTTATTTGAAAACGGAACGGTCTTAATATTGGATGGACAATCCGCCTGACTTTATCCATATGTTTTTCCGTCAATTTTGAGGGATTTTGAAGATGGATTATCGGTCTCAGACGAATAATCCATCTCAAGTGTAAAAAAAGCCGTTGTTCAATTTGGACGGATAATTCGTCTGACTTTATCCGCCTTTTTAGACGGATTATTCGTCTCGAATTCACACTAGACGGATAAAGTCATCCCATTTTATCTGCCCACTCTCGTCCCCAGTGTCTTCTCGCTTTTCAAAAGACACTAGGACGAGGTTGTTTTTTTCCTGAAAAGCCTGGCACTAGAAAGGATGCGTTGCATCATAGGATTCGTAGAACAAAAAGTTTAAAGCACTCACCCCCCGGGAGGTACTCTGGGAATTCTTGGTAGGGGTGTGCCGCCCCGTTCTCCAAATCCTAACCCTATATCAGACCTAAAAAGGTCATTTTTCACACCCGTTTTCAGATCTGACCTCTAAAATGCATACCCGTTTTCAGACCTGGCCTCTAAGAAATTATGTCGCCATTACTTCGATCAAAACAGCAACAAAAACGATTTCTTAAAATCCATTTCCAATTCTTTCTTACTCATTTGGAACCATAAATACGTTCAGTACCGTAAAATTCCGAAAATAAGCCCTTCCATATATAAGCCCCCCAAACTCGTAACGCAAAAACCCCTCCGTTAAATCGCCTCTCCAAATATAAGCCACCCGGGGCTTGTACTTGGAAAATTGCCCACAAATACAGAGTAAAACACAGCAAAAAAAAGGTAAATTTACTTCCAACTATAAGGCTAACCCAATCGATTTCGCGAAACGCAAATTTCCCTCCGTAGATAAGCCCCTCCAAAAATAAGCCCCTCGGTGCTTATTTTCGGAATTTTACGGTATGATTAGGCGTATGTGTGACCTAAGGATTGTGCCCTGTTCACGTTGTGAGCTTCGACCGTGCTCGTGATATTATAGTGCGCGCCTCTGACTCGACTGTTTATGAACCAAACACGAATGCTTCTGCAAGTAACAACAGGATATTGTGTTCCCTTCAATTTTTTCTGACGTGGAATTTAAAAAGGACAAGTAACAGGCATGTATGATAAATGTACGTAATCACTTTTCATTTTTCGGTGAAGTTAAGAAATTTTGCTCTACTGTCAGCGTTTTAGAACTGAAGCATGTGTTCCTTCTTCATCTTTATCATTCTTCTGACATTTATTTGGTTTCAGTTGTTTGAATCTACTATTTAATGGTAAAGCTTCCTTATTTATTGCAGCAGTTCTTAGTGACTAGGTCTAATCATAGCTAACAACCTCTAATTTCTCAGAGTATCACTGCTTATCATGGAAAGGTCATGAGATAATTTACAGAGTATATTCGATGATCCCTAAACAAAACCGTCATCGTTTTGTTAAGAGCCACATGCAATATCGACAACCGGGTGGAAATATACATTATCAGGGAACGAAATGTAAAGAATATCACCTTTCAAAGTAGATTTGTTTTTAACGTTTTTCTCCAGCTGCTAATTAGTAACTGGTTAAAGCTAATTTCTTGGGGATTTTAGCTACTGTAGGGGTAGAACATATATAGAGGTGCCCGTCTGATTTATCCCTCCCTCTCCGCTACTATCTACCAAACACTGAACTTAGACACCAGCAACTGTTTTTTTTTTTTTTTTTTTTTTATCGCACAGAAAATAAGTGCTCTAGACAAAATGCTCCAAGTGACGGACGCATTTGATGATGGTATGGCATATAAGATTTGTTAACGGTATCAAGAGGCAACAATTCAGCCTCACTACCATCTGTCCATGATTGCTTTCCCTCCCCCTCCCCCGGATCACTAAATGGGTACATGATTTTTATCACTAGCTTAAAATGAGAAGTCGATGCAATCGATTTGTTGTCCTTTACCCATTCTCGTCCCCAGAGCATCCTCGGAGACCCAGGGGCAGATAGTGGGGGCGAGGGAAAGTCTAAACGGGCGGAAAAATAAGGCGCGAAGAAAAGTAAAGAACGGCGAGAAGAGCCCCTGGGACAATGTCTTACCAGACCAGTTCCAAACGGTCGCCGCCGTTCTGGCTTCTGATTGGTGCCAGAAAATTTGTGTTTTTCCGAAAAAGGCGTCTGCTCTCGCAGGCTTATGGCGAACGGGCCCTTTTCGAATTATCAAAGTCCTTTTCTGAGGGGAATTAAAACGAAATAAATGGACTATTCATCTCCGAATCTCAATTTCCATTTCCAAGCAACCTCGTTCCCGTGGTTCTCTCCTATTCGTCCTCCGAAGCAAGATCAGCTAGAGAGACGGGGAACGAGTAGTGGAGAACCCTGGAAACGAAGTTGGGAGCCAACTCGTAAATTCAAAACAGGTCTATTGAAAGTATCCTTTGCTATTAGACCGCGTGACTGTTCATATCGGTCTTGTGACACTCAGTTGTCGTGCATTTCTTCAACGAGTTCTTTTCTCCTTTTAATTATTTCAATCATCAGATCCTTTTGGTAGTACCGTAAAATTTCGAAAACAAGCCTCGGGGCTTATATTTTTCAAAGGCCCTTTTTGAGGGGCTTATTTTTGGAGGAGCTTATATTCGGAGGGGCTTAAATACGAAGGGGAGTTCTCGTTTCAAAATCGGCTAGGCTTATACTTGGAGGGAAATTTGCGTCTCAAAATCGGTTGGGCTAACTTATGGTAGGAAGGAAAATTTATGTCAGTAATTTGCAGAAAGCTTTTACTGAAACTCGCCTTGAGGACATAGACCTTTGTAAAACGCAGCCATGGAAGCACTTTGTCTACATGGACCAAGGAAATCCAAGCCAAGAGTGAAGAGTGAACTACGCAAACAGCAATTTCTGACTACAATCATTTGGCACACAACAACAACAACAACAACAACAACAACACCTTATTTCACCCCATAATATACAAGAAATAAAAATGTATAACAATAGTACAGAGTTCTTAGGCAAATACAAACATTTATGTGTTACTGTACAGTTATTGCCTTGTTTTATTTTGAATTTGATGGCAATTTCCAAGTACAAGCCCCCGGGGGCTTATATTTAAAGGGTCGATTTAACGGAGGGATTTTTCCGTTACGAGTTTAGGGGACCAGTTTATCGTTTATCTCGCGATATTCGTTACTTAGTTATTCATTTACGACGTTTTATATTTGGAGGGGCCTATACATGGAGGGGCTTATTTTCGAAATTTTACGGTATTTAATTTGTGCAATCAGTTGAGAATATTACAAACATTTACAGAGAAGGATACAAAAAATCTGAACAATTCGTCAAGAATAAAATAATAACAATAATAATATTTAATACTTATATTGCGCTTTTTCAATAAAAATACTCAAAAGCGTATTACAATATTATTAATAACTAAATTAAAAACCAGTAAAATTACCCGGTAAAATTACAATATTTAAAAAAATAAATAATAAATAAAATAAAATAAAATAAAATAAAATAAAATAAATAAATAAATAAATAAATAATCTAACTAAAAGCCTTATGTTTTAACAGAGCGTTTAAAAGAGTCGATTGATGTTTCCTGTCTTATTGGCAGAGGAAGACTGTTCCATAAAAAAAAACGGTGAAAGTAGTGAAAATTTGGCCTAGATCGTGCACAGAAAAGCCCTCTTTTAGGATGAGAAAAAAAAAAATCCGTCTACTTGGAGGATAGGGCACAATTAGCATATCCAA